TCTGGGCCCTGGGCGCTCGTGGGAGTCGGAGCCCCGGAGAGGCCGTCCGGTGGGATCCCCACGGCCTGCAGGCGAGGTTGGCAGCCCGGGTGTTTGGGAGGGCCCTCCTGCGGGCGCTGGCTGTGGGGCCCAGGAGGGCAGATTTCCAGCTCCCAGGATGGGGTCCTCAGGGCAGTGGCGCCCCGAAGCCTGTCCAGTTCTGAGCCCCCACGACCTGCAGAGGGGAAATCAGGTTCCGGCGTGGGCGGCGCTGCAGGCACAGGTGCCGCCCCTTACCTGGCTGTAGCTTAAGGGCTTTGGCTGGGAAACCCCCCCCATACCCCGCCTCACAGCCTTCTGTGCTGCCAGGAGCCCCAGCCCCAAAGTCGTCTGCCTGGCCACGTGGCGTGTAGGCCGGAGGCTCCCTGGGGAACAGGACTGCTGGGGGGCACTCAGTGGCCTGTGCCCCCTCCTCTGTGCAAGTTGCCCCAGGGACCGGCAAGGTCAGAGGGTTGGCCCCAGAGGGTCAGGGCCTCACCCTCATCCCCTTTGCTTTTCAGGTACAGCCAAAATGGGGGAGCCTCAGGGGTCCAAGCGGATCCTAGTGACGGGGGGCTCTGGGCTGGTGGGCCGGGCCATCCAAAAGGTGGTAGCAGATGGCGCCGGCCTGCCTGGTGAGGACTGGGTGTTCGTCTCCTCCAAGGATGCTGATCTCACGTGAGCCCGCCCACCCCCATGGCACGCCCCCCATGCCCTCTCCAGGGAAGAGCCAGGCCAGCCTGGCCAGGTGGCTGGGCTGGGCTGTGCTCCTGGGCAAACAGCCCCCACCCCTTCCCGGAAGCCCAGGCCCTCAGGCAGCCAGGCACTGACCTTGGCCGCTTTCCCTCCTGGCCGCACCTCCTGCCCCAGCCCCACGCAGCCTCTCCCCGGTACCTGGACCGTGCTTACTCCCGTAGGCCCCCACAGGGACCTTGAACCCCGGCTTCCCCCAGGGATGCAGCACAGACCCAAGCCCTGTTCCAGAAGGTCCGGCCCACACACGTCATTCACCTCGCTGCCATGGTGGGGGGCCTGTTCCGGAACATCAAGTACAATTTGGACTTCTGGGTAAGTGAGGGGCCACCTCCAGCCCTGGAGCCCAAGCCCAGGTTCTGGGACCTTTCTGGAGAGCCGCCAGGCTCACAGGGTCAGTTCCTACCCCAGGAAGCCTTTGAGGATCAGGGCCTGGCGCAGCCTGGTGGGAGCAGCTCCCAAGGGCCTAGTGACCCGTACTTGGCACTGTGGCCCAGGGCACCTTGCTGGGAGGAAAGCCTGTAAGCTTGCAGAGCCGGCAGTAGCAGTGTTCACAGGTGACATGGGCTGGTCCCTGCCTCCTGCGCCCTCGGTGCTTCTGGAGCCTCTGACTACATAGGCCCACCACGAATTCTGGGGTGCAAGAGCATGCCTGGGGGTGTGGTCTAAGAGCCCTGCCCTCGTCAGCTATGCCACGAGGGTTAGACCTGTCTCTGGGCAGCAGTCCCACCTGGCTGGCCTGAACCGGGCAATGGGTCAGCAGAGGCTCAGACCAGATTCTGCCCAGGGGCCTTGCAACCTCAGGCTCTTGTCCCTGTTTGCCTTCCCAGTGGGCCGCCCGGCCACCACCTCTTCCCTCATGAGGCCAGTCCAGACCCCTGGCCATCTCATGTCCAATGGACTAAATGGAGAGTGGGCTTGGGGAAGGAGCAGCAGGCCTGGGAGGGCGAGCGCAGGCCAAGGCTTCCTGGCTCTGGGCAGCAGCTGGGTGGGGGAAGTTCCTGGGTCTGGCTGGTGGAAGGGGTGGATTTCTCCCTGTGGGGTGAGCCCCCCTCCAGGTCCAGCTTGGGGCCATGCACCTTCCTCATTCCCAAAGACCTGCTCTGCCCTTAGCAGCCAGCCCCGAGGGGGCGTGGCCTCTCTCCTGCTGGGAGGGGAAGGCCAGCTCCGAGCCCTGCAGGGGCTCCCAGCCTGCAGGGGTGGCTTCTGTAGAGTCCACATCAGGAGGCTTTGCCTTGGCCCAGGAGCAGGCCCAGGTACTGCCCGTGTCTGAGGGGCTGGGGTGTGTCCCTGCTTCCGCCACTGAGAAGCAGGTGATGGCTGGGGTCCTGCCTGGGGAGCCTGACCTGCCCCGCCCCCTGGGCAGAGAGAAAACGTGCACATCAATGACAACGTGCTGCACGCGGCCTTTGAGGTGGGCGCCCACAAGGTGGTCTCCTGCTTATCCACGTGCGTCTTTCCTGACAAGACCACCTACCCTATTGATGAGACCATGGTGAGGGCAGTGGCCTGAGTCTGGGCGTGGCCTGGGGCGGGGTCTGGGGTGGGGAAGCAGGGCCTCAGTGCACCCCCGCTCCTGCAGATCCACAATGGACCGCCCCACAGCAGCAACTTTGGGTACGCGTATGCCAAGAGGATGATCGACGTGCAGAACAGGTCATCCTCATGCCATCCTGTGCGGCCAGAACTGGGGAAGAGGGCACAGGCCCTGCGGGTGGGTGGGGCCGACTGGGCAGCCCCGCCAGAGTCTCCTTGGGTCCCTGGTGTCCCACCTGTAAGGAGTGTCAGCCCTGGTGGAGTGGGGTCAGTGGCCCGGACTGAGGGCAAGGGACGCGGCCCTGCAGGGCCTACTTCCAGCAGCATGGCTGCACCTTCACCGCCGTCATCCCCACCAACGTCTTCGGGCCCCATGACAACTTCAACATCGAGGATGGCCATGTGCTGCCAGGCCTCATCCACAAGGTGCACCTGGCCAAGAGTGAGTGCAGAGGCCTGCCTGATGGGGTCCCGGGGGCTCAACGGGGAGGAGGTGGCAGCTGCTGGCATGGCACCCCTGACACCCGTCCTGCCCTGCCCGGAGGCAGCGGCTCGGCCCTGACCGTGTGGGGCACCGGGAAGCCGCGGAGGCAGTTCATCTACTCCCTGGTCTGTATGCAGCTTCCCTAAGCCTTGGGTGTGCAGCTGGGCCATGGGGGAGGCGGAAGCCTCAGCACCAAGAAGCCTGAGAATGAGGCGAGGGTCTGGGCAGAACCCCAGGAGGAGTGTCCTTGGGCTGCATGTAGTCCCCTGGGCTCCTGCCCTTGAGAGTCGTGGGGGACATTGTCAAGCTCAGCTGGAGAGAGGGCTTCCTCAAGGAGGGGTCACAGGTGGGCCCTGTCCATGCCAGGTCTGAGCATGGACAGTGGTGTGTGGTCACTGGAGGGCACTGGGGGAGGCAGCCTGCAGCCTGTGGCCACGCCTGGTGGCCTCTGACCCTGCCCTCTGACCCCAGGACCTGGCCCAGCTCTTCATCTGGGTCCTGCGGGAGTACAATGAGGTAGAGCCCATCATCCTCTCAGGTGGGTGCCCTCTCTGTGGTGGGCGGGCCTGGGGCGGGGCGCGGGGGCAGGGGACCCCCCGAAGTGGAGGGGCCTGAGCTGGCTATGGGCCCTCCGCTCCCCCAGTGGGTGAGGAGGACGAGGTGTCCATCAAGGAGGCGGCCGAGGCAGTGGTGGAGGCCATGGGCTTCCAGGGCGGCATCACGGTATCCTCTGTCCCAGTGGCGGGGCTGGTGGGCACCGTGGCCTCCCTGACGGTGCTCCCCGGTGCAGGAGGGGGGCTGGCCGGGCATGGGGCAGGGCGCTCCTTCTCCTGTGGCCTTGACTATGGCGCGCAGTTTGACACGACCAAGTCGGACGGGCAGTTTAAGAAGACAGCCAGTAACAGCAAGCTCCGGGCCTACCTGCCCGACTTCCGCTTCACGCCCTTCAAGCAGGGTGAGTGCTGGCCCCTTGCCTGCCCTGGCTCCTCTGGCTCCTGCCCCTGCTGCCCTCCTACTGTGTCCCCTACTGTGGCCGCAGCATCCCTGCTCCCACCGTGAGGGCAGCCACCCTGCAGGTAAGGCCCTGGACCCCCACCACAGCCTGCACGAAGCTGGAGGGGCCTGCTGATGTCCTGGGGCCTCCCAGTCAGCACAGTTCTGCCCTGACCACTTCCCCCACTGCTGCCTGCACCCCGGATCAGCACAGCCCTGCCCTGCCCCTCTCCCCCCCTGCCTGCCGTAGCTGTGAAGGAGACCTGCACCTGGTTCGCCGACAACTATGAGCAGGCCCGGAAGTGAGCCTGGTGTGGGCATGGATACCACGGGACCAGCAGCTGGGAGCTGAGGGTACTGCGCACCCCCAAACCAGGTGCTCCAGGCTACTATCCAGCGGGGTCCACTCATGTCCATCCTCAGGGGAACCAAGGCCTGGGCAGGCCTGGTCCTGTGCTTGCTGGTGCCACTCCAGAGTGTCCCCTCACCCTGCTGTCCTCGTCCCGGTAGCCAATAAAGTGCATTTTTACAGGCCTGGCCTGGGCAGCTCTGTGTCAAGCCATCCCCTGCACCCAAGCCCTGCCTGCCCTGGCAGGACAGGGCCAGCCTGGGGACCCTGGCCCTGCTTGCTGTTCAGCTCTGAGAGTTGTTGGAGGTCAGCCTGAGGCCTGATGGGCCGGGGGGCAGAAGGCTGGTGCCGGCTGTGCGAGGGCACGGTGGGGCGAGGTAGGCTTCTGCCAGGTGGCGGTGTGGACATCATCTGGAGGGGAAGCGCAGCCAGGCCCAGGGGACTATGGCCGCTGCAGCCCTGGACGGTCGAGCTCCCATCCTCTACCTCCATGCTGTGGCCTTGGGAGGCTCAGTGCCTGGTGGCGGCAGAGGCTCCTGGGGTCAGGGCTGGGCCTGACTATCTCTGGCGTGGGTGCGGAGCTCAGGCTGGGCTCACCTGGCCTTGGCCTTGGAGGGCCAGCAGGCGGGCGGGTTGGCTGCGGGCCCTAAGCCCATGGCCCTCACATCCTGGCTCTCCAGTTCCCTGCTCCTAGCAACAGCTGGCTGGTGGGGTTTGGGGGTCTCCAAAGCCCTGCTCGTCCTCTGCCTCCTTGGTACCTGGCATGGGGAGCCCACCAGCCCTCCCCAGGACCCAGACATGGCTGGTGAGCACGTGGGTGCCAGCTCGCTCCTTGGTCTCCTTGGGCAGTGCTGGGGGACCTGTGCCTGCACCGAAGTGCTTGGGCCAGCTGCCCCCTGTATGTGGCTGTCTTTTAGTTACCAGTTCACATGCTTTATTTCTTAAAGATATTTCTTTAATTGATTCAAATATTTTTATATTCTAAATTAGGTATTCTAGCCTTACATTTAAACGTCATTTTCTGAGTACATTTTCTTTTAAATATACAAAAGAATGTTTTCTCATAGAGTATGTTGAAAATTAGGAAAATCGAGGGTTCTGGTTCTGTCAGATGCAGTATTTAGAGTGTTATTTTGATAAAATCCAGTTGCTCTGGTATGGCTTGTAAATATTTGCTCCTTTGGAGTATAATTGCAGGGAAAAAACTGTGGCATAGGTAAAAATTCTCCATATTGACTTGAATTGGTTTTGTACATAATCATCTGAGGTTTTGATAGTGAGGTAGCTGTGTGGAGTGTCTGTGGGTCCAACATGAAAACACTGAATTGCCGGGGTTCACGCAAGGAGGTGGCTGTTCAGGTTTTATTTCCGTGTCTGAATCCGAAGTATTCTTCTTATCCCAGTGGCAGTCCGTCATTCTTTGTATCTTCTCTGTCAATGTTTTCGGCAAAAGCAGTTTTTTCCTGCAGCGGATGAAGGCTGGCCCTGACCTTTTATTTTTTTTTTAAAGAATTATTTACTTGGGACCAGCAGTTAGCATAATGGCTATATCGCTGGACTCCCACGTAGTCGACTGCGGTTCGTGTCCCGGACCCAGCGGCTTAAAACTCACGCCAGGCGCGTGTGCGTGCGTGCCCAAGATCCCGAGAGGAGAATGGAGGAGAAGGGATTGCGGCGTGACCATCCCCCCTGGGGGGTGATTTCTCGCTTTCTGTCTCTATGTCTCTCTCTGTCTGCCTGGTGAGCGCACGCGCCCTATAGCAAAGAAAAAAAAAAGAATTATTTACTTAAGCAATACTTAATAAATAAACAATTTATCTAGTATAGTATATACTAAAAAGTATGTGTTTTTAATTTGACCTGAGAGACAGTGCAGAGAAGACAGTGAGAAAACAAGATGCTAGGTCTGGGGGTTGAACCGCGGTCACCCATGTGGGAGTCCAACACTTTTAACCACCATGCCACCTGCTGGCCCCACTCCCCACCTTTTTCTTCTCTTAAATTTGCTATAGGGCAAGTGTGCTCACGGAGAGGGATGGAGAGAGGGGGGAGAGAAAGTGAGAAATCATCCCCCAGAGATGGCCACACCAGTCCCTTCTCCATTCTCCTGGGATTTGGGCACACACAGACATACATGTCCAGCGTGACTCTAGCCGCCAGCTCAGGGCTTGGAGCATGCAGTTGGCCATGTGGGGCCAGCTGCCTTAACCTCCACTCCATCTGCTGGCCCCAAGGCCTGCCCATGTGTTAGCTCTCACTGAAGTGACCCCACCTCCAAGAAGCTTCCCTGACTGCCCCTCAGTTCTCCCCAGCAATGCCCTGCCCTGACACCCCTCCTGGGTTTGGGGCTCCAGGACGCAGAGCGTCACAGTGCACCCGGCTCTTTATGGGTCTGGGCTCTGTCCAGGGTAGGGCTGGGGTTTAGGGGAGGCTTCCAGCTGAGCCGGAGGGTGGCAGCTGAGCCGGTGCTGTGCCAGCAAGGTGAGGAACTGGCAGGAGTGAGAGTAGTGGGGTGCTCCGGATACAGCACAGTCAGGTGTCAGCTGAGGCACCCGCTAGTGCTGAGACCCAGGCTGAAGAGGAGAGACCTGTGCTGCCCAGCCAGGGGCTGTGGGCGCAGCAGGGTGACCCTGGGCAGTCAGGTACGCTGGACCTCCCTTACCTCGCTGCAAGTCACCCAGGGAACCAGGTGTCCTTCAGGGTGATGTGACTGGGTGTCACGGCCACCGCACCTCCCACAGCCTGCCTCCAAGCCCTCATTCTGAGGGCCTGAGAGCCGACCTGTATTCCGTCCTGGGGGTTTGCAGGAGGGGGCTGCAGGACCCTGGGGCGATAGTAGGGGCAGCTGCAGGTGGGCAGTGGCATTTAACCTGGTTCCCCAGGTGCTTGGCTCATGAGGCCCCTGGCCCCATGGCTAAACGGACATCTGGCTCAGCCTGAGCCTGCCTCCTGTCTTGGCCTTGAAGATCCAAACCTTTCCCCCCGCCAGCCTCTTCTTGATGCCTGGCTGAAGCCGAGGTGCACTTCCATTTCTCTGTGCGTAGCTCCCTGTGTGTCCTCAGCCACAGAGTCTCCCCGTTGGCTGCCCCACCCCCACCCTTGGCCTGGAGGGCAGCCTCCCTCCAGGGCCCCAGCTGACCCCTCCTGCAGCATCCCTCCCCTTTTCCGAACCCTGCTCAGCACTTCCGCCTCACTGGCGAGGTCCCTGCAGGGCCTCTGCCTGACTGGTTGCCACAGGGACACCCCTGAGCCCCATGGCCCTTTGCTATGCAGAGAGCATTGCAAAGCGAAGATGCTGCCTCTCCTGCACACTGATCTTGGAGCTGTCACAGCGACCTGTGGCACGGAAGTGGGGACTCTCCCCACTTTACACGGGGCAGAAGGCTCAGGACCCACAGAGTGGGGAGAGGCTGCACTGCTGACCCCACGCTCAGAACTGTTTCTTGTGCAGAGGCTGAGACCGCCTCTGGGTCACCATCCCCGCCCCATGCCATTGGCCTCAGAACCTTGACCATCCTCTGGGGTATGCCGGGCATGTGTGCGGCCACACAGGGACTCCACAGTTGGCAAGTAGGCCTGCTGGCTGGGGCCCTCTTGTCCCTGCTGTGCCACGTGGAGGCTTCCTGGACCCGAGGCAGGGCCCAGGCACTGCAAGTGTACAAATGTTGGTTGAATGAAAGAGGGAATTCCTATTTTTTTCTTTTTTTGGAGAGGTTTTCACTATAGGGCGCATGCGCTCAACAGACAGACAGAGACATCAGAAAGCGAGAAATCACCCCTGGGGGGATGGTCACGCCGCAATCCCTTCTTCTCCATTCTCCTCTTGGGATCTTGGGCATGCACGCACACGCGCCCGGTGTGAGTTTTAAGCCACCGGGTCCGGGACGCGAACCGCAGTCGACTACGTGGGAGCCCAGCGACATAGCCATTACATTAAGTGCTGGTCCCAGGAATTCCATTGTTGAAGAATTTAGAAGAGGTCAAATGGGGAGGCTGGCAGGTGGTATGGTGTTTGGGGTACTGGACTCCCACATAACAGACTAGGGTTCGAGTCCAGGACCTGGTGGCTTGTTTCTCTTTCTGAGTGCATGTGCCATATAGCAAGTTAAATAAATAAATAAAATTAATAATCATTAAACAAAAACAATAAAATGCCAAATGGGGCCAGCAGAGGCTAGAGTAGCTGGACCCCACATGGCTGACTGTGAGGTTCATTTTCTGGACCCAGCAGCGTTAAAAAGCACACTAGGCATGTGAGAACATCCCCAGAGAATGGATAAGGGATTGAGGCATGGCCATCCCTCCAGGAGGTGCTTTCTTGATCTTGCTCCCTCTCTGTCTTTCTCTGGTGAGCACAGGCACTCTATAGCAAATTTTAATAAATAAAATTGAAAAGGTTTTAAAAATGTAGTCACACAGGATCAGCAGATGGCATAATGGTTATATCGATGGACTCCCAAGTAGTTGACTGTGGTTTGAGTTCTGGACCTAGCGGCTTAAAATTCATGCTGGGCGCATGTGTGTGCATGCCCCAAATCCTAAGAGGAGAACAGAGAAGGGACTGCTGCATGGCTATGTCCCCAAGAGGCTGAGTTCTTGCTTTCTGTCTGTATAGCAAACATCTCTCCTCAAAAGCAGTCACACAGTGGGCAAAGAATAGAAAGCAACTACTATTGGCTCTTTCATGTCAATTAAAAACCACAAGCATCCCATCCCATCTTCCTCTGCAGTCAGAGGAAGTCCTCCTTTCCCCCCAGGACTGGAAACAGGGCCGGGCCTCGCTGTGGATCGTTCTCTCTCTCTCTCTCTCTCTCTTTTTTTTTTTTTTTTGGAGAGGTTTTTGCTATAGGGCGCGTGCGCTCGCCAGAAAGAGAGAGACAGAAAGCGACAGAGTGACGGAAAGACAGAAAGCAAGAAATCACCCCCCAAGGGGATGGCCACGCCGCAATCCCTTCTCCTCCATTCTCTCGGGATCTTGGGCACGCACACGCGCCTGGCGTGAGTTTAAGCCACCAGGTCTGGGACGCGAACTGCAGTCGGCTACATGGGAGTCCAGCAACATAGCCATTACGCTAACTGCTGGTCCCTCTCTGGGTCGTTCTCAAGAAGGGTGATCTCACGTTTCCCGGCGCCCCGCAGCTGACTGGAGAATCGGAACTGGCAGGCAAAATGTAACACCATAGGTGTTTCCAAGGAGCACGCTGGCTCATTTATGCAGTCTCAGCAGCGTTGGGGAGGACCCGCCTCCCGGGAGCCCTGTGACTACCAGTTGGTGGCCAGTCAGCATCTTAGCGAGGGACACTCACTTTGAGGAGCGGGAGTCAAGTTTGGCACGAGCACCCCCTCTCCAACCTTAACCTTCAGGAAATCAAAATCGCAATTACACGTACTCCTAGCTCAACCTTGCGGCACAGCCCTCTGCTCGAGCCCCACTCCCGGAATACCTCAGCCAATAGGCGGCGGGGGGCGGAGTTGCCTTTTTCGAACCAATGAGCAGCGAGGGGCGGGACCCGTTCCTTTGGGAGCCAATAGAGCACGGCTCTCAGGAGGCGGAGTGCAAGTTCCAAGCGGCTAATCGAGAGAGAAGGGGCGGGGCGACGTATCCCATTGGTGGAATTGAGGGAGGCGGAAACCGGCTCGGCCTATGGTTGGGCAGCGAGCACAGCGGGTTCCTACGGCGAGATGGCTGCTGTTGGGCCTGAGCCCCCGCGCGTGGGCTTCGTCGGTGCCGGCCGAATGGCTGAGGCCATCGCGCAGGGCCTCGTCCGAGCAGGTAGGGCGGCGCGGGGCCCGGCCCGCGGCCTGGTGTGGGAGGAGCGCATTTGCCGGGAGGGGTGGGCGCACCTGAGTTTCGCAGGTGCCCGCAAGGTGGAGCCCCCAGAATCCTGCCCAGAGGCGGGGCGGCTGGAGTACCTGGGGTGGAACAGGACCCTGCCCCAGGACAGCCAGGGGGCTAGGGAGCGCTGGACCGCGCTGGGCCCCGTCAAGATGTGACGTGGATGTGCAGAATGACCCTCGTAAAAGAGTAAGTTGTAGGTGTTTCGTTTTGTTTTTAAATTATTTATTTATTTTGTTTTATTTATTATTATTTTAAAGTTTGCTATAGGGCGCATGTGCTCATCAGAGAAAGAGAGGGAAAGTGAGAAAGCAAGCCACCAGGTCCGGGACTCGAACCGTGGTCACCTATGTAGGAGTCTGGCACCTCAACCACCATATGCCACCTGCTGGCCTGGTAGTTGATTTTTCAATTTAGGTTATTTGTTGAACAGATAATATCTTGGACACTGGGTTGAATTCGATGTCTTGTCATTACTGTTAACCTTTCTTTCTTTCCTTTCCTTTTTTTTAAAAAGGTTTTTGCTATAGGGAGCATACGCTTTCTGGAGAGAGACAATGAGAAGTCACCACTCAGGGGAGATGCCTACGCTTTAGTCCCTTCTTCTCCATTCTACTCTAGGGATAGTGAGCACACATGCCCAGTATAATTTTCAGCCACCAGGTCTGGGTCTTGAACCCCAGTTAGCCATGTGGGAATCCAGTGCCTTAACTACCATGCCCACCTGCTGGCCTGGTAGTTGATTTTTCAATTTAGGTTATTTGTTGAACAGATAATATCTTGGACACTGGGTTGAATTCGATGTCTTGTCATTACTGTTAACCTTTCTTTCTTTCCTTTCCTTTTTTTTAAAAAGGTTTTTGCTATAGGGAGCATACGCTTTCTGGAGAGAGACAATGAGAAGTCACCACTCAGGGGAGATGCCTACGCTTTAGTCCCTTCTTCTCCATTCTACTCTAGGGATAGTGAGCACACATGCCCAGTATAATTTTCAGCCACCAGGTCTGGGTCTTGAACCCCAGTTAGCCATGTGGGAATCCAGTGCCTTAACTACCATGCCACCTGCTGCCCCTGCTTTCTTATCTTTCGGCTGTGGCTCCTAGAAACCTACAGTTACATATGTGACTTACTGCCCCTGGCATTGCCAGCGTAGTGCCTGCATCAGTGGCCAAGTTCCTTGCCTGTCAGGCTGACCGCACCCAGCCTCTGACCCCCTCTGTGTGCCAGTCATACTCCTGTTGGTGAACACCAGGGTTTCTGGACGTGGGCTCACCCTGGGGAGCAAGTTTACCGCCCCTGGCTCCTCTAGATGCCAGTAGCACCCACCAAAATGGTCTCCAGACATTGCCAGATGTCTCCTGGGGGCAGAAAACAGAGGGCAAAAATGTCCGTGGCCGGGAGCCACTGGTGTGTGGCCAGGGGTGCCCATGCTCCCCAGTGCCACTCAGTGCTTAGAAACTACTGCGTCATACCGTGGGGTGCAGAGCGACGTGCAGCTCTCTGCCGTGGCCATTCTCCAGGGCTCGAGTCAGACAGGTACCGGAACTGAAGCCCGCAGGCGGCCCCCACCCGGGTCCCCTCCCTCTGCCTGGGCTCTGAAGATTAGCGTGTGTTGCATGTTGGGCCCAGCACTAGTCCCTGTCCCAGGTTATCGATCCTGTGTTCAGGTCATGGTATGCATGTCTGTTTTCTGGTTTGACTTTACTGAAGTCTGATCCAATACTCTTACGCCTGGACTCCACATGAGCAGATGATTTCTACCCAATGGGCCTCTAGCCTCTCCTTGGACTGCCCAGCAGGGACCACCCCTCCCGAGGAAGCTTGGCCCCATTGAGCCTTTGTGGTAATCAGTTACCTGTGCCCAACGGGCCCACCCCTACCTGGCGCTCCCTGGGTACTGCCTGGCCTGCAGCCTATGTTCCGGACATGCTTTTCTTCCCTGGACAGAGTCCCCAGGGACCAGTGCCCTCATTGGATGAGGCCAGGGCCTGGCAGGTGGTGGTAACAGCCAGGGAGAACTGATGGGTCTGGGTGCCTGGTCCCAGCCAGACAGCTCATCCCCGCTTTGGGTTCCTGCAGTCTCAGGCCAGTGGGGGAGCCAGGTGTAGGCCAGGGGTGGCTGGTGGCTGAGCTTGAGAGGCCAGCGAGCGCTTCCTCCTCTTCTCCCTGTGCAGCCCCTCGCCCACGCTCTGCTTGTGCCCTTGCAGGAAAAGTGGATGCTCAGCGCGTGCTGGCCAGTGCACCAACGGACAAGAATCTCTGCCGCTTCCGGGTGAGCATGGGCCCAGGCTGTGATAGGGCAGCTTCCTCTTGGGGCCCAACATGGCCCCTCGTGGCTCCTGTTTCTCTGAGACACATACCAGGACCAAGGAAGTATGGCTTGTTTAACTGAAGTTTTGAGACTGTCTGCAGCAGGGGAGGTCAGCGGTCAGGAGGAACGTCAGGGTCATGGGGCCAGAGCAGAGCAAAGTGCAGCTGTGTGCATATGTGCCTGTGTGTCTGTGTGTGCGTGTGTGCACGTGTCTGTAAGGAGCAGACCTGAGCCTTGGGCCTGAGAACGGGAAGTGGTGCCGACACTTGTGGGAGAGGCCTGCGGGGACGCACAGGAACGCATGGGGTTGCAGGGTCCCTTGCAGCCGGCGGGGCATGGGTGGGGGCTGCTTCACTCATTTCACCCTGGTCCTGGTCCCGGGATCCCCATGCAGGTTTTGGGCTGCCAGACCACCCACTCCAACCAGGAGGTGCTGCAGAGCTGCTCACTGGTCATCTTTGCCACTAAGCCCCACGTCCTGCCCGCCGTGCTGGAAGAGGTGGCCCCTTTGGTCACTGCCGAGCACATCATAGTGTCTGTGGCTGCTGGAGTCCCTCTGAGCACCCTGGAGGAGGTGAGTGGCCCTCAGGCCAAGGCATGACCCTGGTGCAGGCCCTCCTGGCCAGCCCGCAGGTACCGTCGGTGGATCTCCTGGACCAGGTGGCTGGAGTCGGCTCATGCCCAGGAAGAAGGCATGGACCCTGTGGCTGGCTGGCAAGGTCCAACTCCACAGGTCCCTGATCCCACCCTCTCTCTGGCTAGCTGCTGCCCTCAGGTACACGGGTGCTGCGGGTCTCACCCAACCTGCCCTGCGTGCTCCAGGAGGGGGCCATGGTGATGGCGCGGGGCAGCCACGCTGGGAGCAGTTCCGGCTGAACCTGTTGGAGGCCTGTGGACAGTGTGAGGAGGTGCCCGAGGCCTACATGGACATCCACACAGGCCTCAGTGGCAGTGGTGTGGCTTTCGTGAGTGTCCCACCCACCCCAGCAGGCCAGTCCTCAGCAAAAGGGGGTCCCCCAGTCCCTGAGACCACCTCTACCCTCAACCCAGCCCTGGGTCTCTAGGTGCTGTGGGGTGTGCTCTAGGTGGGCTTGTGAGGCCCTCTTGGCAGGCCCTTGGGCTCAGGCCTCAGCCTAGGCATACGTCAGTCACTCCAGGGCTCAGTCCTGATGACTGAGCGTCCTGCAGGCTGGTGCTGCCTGCTGGGGAGTGTCAGCCTTGACAGTCCCCCACACTGCTTCTGCAGGTATGTGCGTTCTTGGAGGCCCTAGCTGATGGCGCTGTCAAGATGGGGATGCCTAGTGGCCTGGCCCACCGCATCGCTGCCCAGACCCTGCTGGTGAGTGCAGGAGGCCCAGCGAGATGACAGGGCTGGGCCTGAACTACCTCGGGTGGGCGGGTCACCAGCAGGCCTGAGGAGCCTGGGATGTGGTTGGGGCAGTGTTCCAGTGGTCCCTGTACCAGTAGGGGCTGCTCTAGCTCCCAAGTCACCAGTCCCATGCCCCCTCCCCAGGGCACAGCCAAGATGCTGCTGCAGAGGGGCCAGCACCCGGCACAGCTGCGGACAGACGTATGCACGCCGGGCGGTACCACCATCTATGGGCTCCATGCCATGGAGCAGGGTGGGCTGCGGGCAGCTGCCATGAGTGCTGTGGAGGCTGGCCCCCCCCCGAGCCAGGGGAGGGGGGGGGGCGGCGGCCCCCTGCCATGAGTGCTGTGGAGGCTGCCACCCGCCGGGCCAAGGAGCTCAACAAGAAGTAGGCCTCAGTGGCACCGGAGGCCTCCCGCCTCCACCAGCCACACTGCAGCTTCCTGCTGCCCTGGAGCCCCTCCATCTTGCATGAGTGTCTGACGCTGCTCCCTCCCCTGCAACGCGCTGCCAGGGGACAGGGCCTAAGGGGGTGGTGGGACTGTGGGCTCTGGGTGGTGAGAAAGGCCCCCTACAGTGGCCCCTACCCCTCATGGTGACAATGACTCTTGGAGTCAGCTGCTTGCACAGTGGGGCAGTTGGTATGGCCAGGGGCCAGCCAGGGACAAAGTGACAACACTGCAGCTCCAGACTCCAGGGAGGCCTGGCGTCACGTCTTGAGGCATCTCTGGAGAGGCCGGTGTGCACAGGTGTGCTGTGATCCAGGCTGGGGGAGGCTGTGAGGGGCCACAGTGTAAAGATAAGGTGGCCCATGGAAGGCAGATGTAAAATAAACTTAAGGAAAAAAGAAAATGACCAAGTGGCCTGTGTCCGGTCTACAGCTTTGTCCTTGGATGTCTCTGCCACGCTCTCAGCTCAGCTCTTGTTGGAGGGTGCTGCACTGGAACCCCTTCCTCGGTGAACCCAGGGGTTTGCTATCCTGAAGAGCAAGAGCACCCAGGCCATGGGCAGAGCTGCACTCTCCGTGCCCAGCAGCACCGTACATTATGGGCTGGGCTGAGAGCAGGCCAAGGGGACACTTGAGGTCTAGGAGGGTGGCCACCTGATGGCCCTGCCCTGGGTCTGGAGTCCTAGCAGGCCTCATGGCCCAGGCACCGTGTGCTGGCCTCTGACTGCAGGCTGTGGCTTTCTGGCATGGCCTCTGTGGACTGGTACATCAGGGAAGCTAGGACCTGGGGGGGGAACGCAAGCCTGTGGGATTCAAGGCCAGGGCTCGGGCCTTTGGGGGGCCTCGCGGGGTGCCACCTGCAAGGCTCACCTGGGCCTCCCCTCCCATTGTCAAGTGCTGCAGCCTCTCTGGCCTCCACCCAGCAACCTCCTGAGACACCTGGCCAGGCACTGCAGCAGCCCCCTGTGCTGACTGTGCTATGTGACCTCAGGGACTGACGGCTCCCACAGAGCAGGGACAAGGCCCCGCCCTGCTCCACACCTGCAGGTCCAGCCTCTGCCCTCACCCCTGCCAGCCATTAGTAGCTCTCCAGCCGCCCTGTTTTCCTCCCTGTGAAATGGGAGTGAAGACACCCACCCAGAGCAGTGAGTGAACCAGTTTGATCAGAGGTTGAGGGGTCTCTTCCAGGTGCCTGAACCCCACGTCAGCTGAGCCCAGATACCTGGGCTCGGAAGTGGATGTCAGCCCATGTGCACAGGGGGTGGGGGCGGAGGCCTCCCACTCTGCAGCTAGCCGAGTGTGGCAAGGACACAGGCACCAGCTTCCCCTGCACCCCAACTGCCACTCCAGGGTGTGTGCAGGCACCCCTGAGCTGCCTGCACTCAGACCTGACCAGGAGCTGCAGTGGAGGTTCAACACTGGAAACTGAGAGGCATGGTCTCCTTGAGACATCTCCCCCAGGACCCCAGCCTGCTCAGCCATCAGCCCGTCCTGACTTTAAGCAGGCCATGTCCCAAGAGAGGGGCTCAGTTGCTCCCAGGCCCAGCTGGGAGGGCAAGGGCATGTGTTTACTAATGCCAACTTTGGGGTCGAGCCTGTGGGTCAGCCAGGCGGCTGTTCCTTACTGTGGGCAAAGTTCCTCTTTCAGGGTTGAGCCTGGTGGGTGTGGTGGTGCACTGTTGAACAGTACTACCCTGCCTGTGCACCTTCAGTCTCAATCTGTGGGGAAAGTCCACATGGGAAGGTCCTGGGTTCATGTCCCGGGACCTCCCTGAGACAGGTGCACGCCCGTGGCCACGGCATAGGCTGGCTGAGACGAGACGGTGCACTGTAGCATGAGACCTGCTGAGAGTGCCTCTTGTCTTTTTGGCTCTATCTCGTGGAAGAAATAAGTAAACTTAAAAATAGCTCAAAAAAAAAAAAAGATTTTAAAGTGGAAGCTTAGGAAGTTGACATGATCAACCTTTATTATGTGACACACCACTGGACTCCTCCAACCAGGTAAACTGAGCGATAAGCAAGGCTGAACGTTAGCGGCACAAGATCCCACCGTGGGGGGGGGTGTCTCAGCTCCCCTGGGGTGTGGCCAGGCCCTAGCTGGGCTCCTACGGATAATTCAACCAGGCAGTGTAAGGGGCTGGGCCCCAGTGTGCGGGAGCCGCTGACAGCTCCTTCTGCATGGCACTTAGGCTCAGCCCAGAACCCTGCATGCTCCTATCTCTGTCCTCAGCGCTTTCCCTCCCCAGGCCACGGGGACCCCCACATGCCTTGGAATGTGCAAAATCCTCAAGGTTGCAAGGCCTGGTTTCTACCAGGGTACCTGGACTCTCCCTCGTGGTCACCACAGAGCAGGGTGCGAGCTCCAGGGTCCACGGCCCAGCAGGACCAGCAAAGGGGCAACCAAAGGGCACAAACTTTCCCGATGCCCTGCCACCTGCTTGGGGTCTGTCATGTCAGATGCTGAGCCAGCCTGGGGACCTGCCGGTCCTCTGCCTCCTGGCATGCGACCAAATAGCATGTCCCCTCAACAGCACCTTCCTGGCCTCTGGCCAGGGTCTGCCCAGCAAACACATGCACAGACCCATGCCTGACAGGAAGCTCTAAGGGGCTGTCACACCTGCCTTGGGGCTGCTGGTCTCCTGACCCTGGGTCTCCTAGGTGCTCACCCCAGCCCACGCCAATAGAAGGATTGAAACTGGGAGGCTGGAGTTGGAAACCTCACCAAAGGAGCGACTCAGAGGAGTGGCTGGTGGCGGCCCGGCCCCAGAGGGCTGCAGGCCCAGGAGGCTGCAGGTGGAGGCTGATGGCCTTGGACCGCCTCTATCTTGACTCCCACCTTCCAAAATGTGAGGCCTATTCGTGATCGTTGACTGCAGCAGTCTCCAAAGAATGGCTCACTCCTAGACTCACACACAAATCCCTTTTGGGGTGCTCCCTTAGGCACCCCACTGCTGAGCCAGGCAGCGCTTCCCTTCTAGGGAGGCAGCATCTGGCCACTGGCCGGGCACTCACCAAGGCTGTGTTTTCAAGGCTCGGACCTTGAGGATGCGGGGCATGGGTGACGATGGGGAGGTGCCAGGAGGAAGTAGCCCCCTTGACTTGACCCCTGTCCCTCGAGAGCGCCCTGGCATCTCTGCAAAAGCAGGCCCTGTCTCAGGCACGGCTTGGCCCCAGACCGGCGGAGTAGAGGGATGGTCACTCAGGCACTCTCTCCCCTTTCAAATGGGGCTGTGCAGAGGCTCCTTGGTCACACCCTTGGCAGTGCCAGGAGAGATGGAAGTGGGGGTGGAGTGCAGGACAGCCCCTGAAGGGCAGCACTAAGGCACTGCGGTGATGCTGGGGCATCAGCCCGGCCCTGGGGCTGGACAGGTGGTCTGTGAGGATGGAGACTTGGGGGCTCATCCGCTCTGCGCCCACCCATGGTGTAAAATCTGTTCAGCATGGAGTTCCCTTAAGGAAGACTAAAAAGCCAGTGGACAGAAAGCTATCCCCTGGCCATACCCTGAACCTCAAGAAGCTGAGTCTGGGCCCCTCTTCCCTTCCTACTCCATAAGGCCCCGAGCTCAGAAACAGCACCCTGGTCCTTGTCTCCAGAACACTGGCAGGAGACAGCTCAGAGGCCACCCTGCTCTACTCGGTTTTCACGGCCCTTCTGAAGATTCTATTTAAAAACAGATTCATGGGACCAGGAGATGGTGTAACATTTACGTTGCTGGACTCCCACGTAGTCAACCGTGGTTCAAGTCCCAGACCTGGCAGCTTAAAACTCAGTTTGGGTGCGTGTGCATGTGTGCCCAAGATCCCGAGAGGAGAATGGGGATGGGCCTGTGGTGTGGTCATCCCCTTGGGGGTGATTTCTCATTTTCTGTGTCTCTGGCGAACATGTACACCCTATAACAAAAAACCTCTCTCTCTGAAAAAATCCAAAACAACAAAATGCATTTAACATGTGAAAAGCAATGAGCCATCTCTGCGGAGATGAAGCTGGCCAGGCACCCACAGCACCAGCGCCCTCTTCCAGTGCATGATGGACAGGTGGCTAGGGGGACCAGGGTGGGGACGGCCAGCGACTAAGGTGCCTGTGCCCAACTTGTGTGAGGGGACCCTGTGAGCGCTTGCCTGGGGAGGAGCTGGGCTTCTCTTCAGCCACCACACAAGTGGGACAGGGGGACCCTCCACCAACAGAGCCCCTCCAGGTCATGCTGGGCCTGGATTCTTGGGATCCCTGGACCCTGGGGTGGGCCACAGGGGGGCAGCAAGAGGGGGATGAGAAACTAGTGTACCAGCTCTCTAAGTGCAGCGGGCGCCATGCTGGCCCAGTCACACGCCAGCATCCGGGCCAGCGGAGGGGCGCCCAGGGCTCCCAAGCCTGCGGGCCACACCGATGAGGGAGCGCAGCTGCACCAGCCTCAGCGGCCCCACCTCCCTGGGGTCCTGGCACTCCAGCCACCGCAGTGCTGTCTCCAGCCCTCGGACAGCCTCCCCAGCCGTGGGCACCGAGGAGCCTCCACGCTCAGTGACCTCCTCCTCCTCTCCAGGCCCCATGCCAAGGGTCAGGCTGACTGGGGCTGCAGGGGCCAGCAAGGAGGGCCGTGCAGGGGCCTCCTCTTCTCGGCAGCCTTCAGGCAGAGCCCCGTCGTCATCCAGGTGCAGCCACTCAGCCACCTCCTCAGGCGCCAGGCGCTCGTACGCCAGGGCGGCGAGGTGCGTCAGGTCACTGAGCACTCTGCTGTGCTCAGCCGCCTCCTCCGCCTGGCGGGCAGGGTACCCAGAGCCGTCTGGGGGCCGGGGCTCAAAGGCCGCCCGCAGGCCCAGCAGCCAGCAGCGTTCAATGCTGCCCGCCTGCACCAAGTCCCAGGAGAGGCCGGCCAGGTAGAGCATGTCTTTGAGCATGAAGCTGCGCATGAAGTCCAGCGGGGAGCCGCCGGCACAGGACACGGCCAGCCGGAGTAGCTCACGCTTGTAGAGCCGCTTGAAGGCGGCCACCACGCCCTGCTCCAGGGGGGCTGGGATGTGCGCACGGCAGCTGCCCTTAGACAAGAACAGCACACGCACGGCGCCGTCTGGCGTCTGCAGCTCCTCCGGGGGGCCCAGGGGTTCAGGCCGGCACCACTTGGGGGTCTCTTCGCTCTCCTCCAGGGGGGGCACCCTGGGGGCCGGACTGGGGCAGGGAGGGTGGGCCACCAGCAGCACCGCCTTCTGCTGTAGGCAGCTTCTGCGCAGGTAGCGCCGGACGCCAGGAACAAACTCCTCGAAGAACCAGCCCCGCAGTAGCGGGCGGCTGAGCCAGGCGTCAGGGCTGTAGCGGTAGGAGGCTGGGAACTTGTCTTGGTTGTGGTGGCGTAGGCTGGGTGGGTCAGGCAGCTGCCCAATGACCAGTGGCTTCAGCTTGTGGCTGCCGGTCAGGTTAGCAGCCAGCAGCACCGTTACCCGGTCACCCCGCCAGCGCTGGCCACAGCCCCCTGCCCGGGAGTCCCCTGCACCCAACGGCGCAGCACGCTCTGGGAGCAGCTTCCAATAGAGACCGGTGACGTTGGCGTTGTAGATCTGCTCATCGTCGTAGCCGCCCTCGGTGGACGGCGGTGGGGCAGAGGCGCGGTCGGTCAGGGCACCGGTTCCGGGGGGCAATGCGGGCTCCTCCTTGACCGGTGGGCCAGGCACAGGGCCCGGGCCTGAGGGCTCTGCTTCGCCATAGATGCGCTGGCTGGAGATGCCATGGCGCTTCTGCCAGCGCCAGAACCACCCGTGGCTGGCCTTGAAGGTGCACTCGGGCCCGTAGATCTGACGCGCGAAGGCCTCAGCCTGCGCCTGGATGAGAGGCCCGGACAGGGGCACACCGTGCTGGCGCAGCGCGAGGAACCACGAGTACACCGCGCGGTCGATCTCCTCCTCGTTGGCCAGCCGCATCTTCTTGCGCTGCGTGCCCACCTCGCCGCCCAGCTGGTCCAGGAACCAGCGCAGCTTAGGCTCGTCCTTGAGCCAGCCGCGCAGCGTGCCTCCGGGCACGCCGAAGTCGCGGCACACGCTGGCCTGCCGCCCGCCGCCCCCGGC